GACTCTGCCAAGCGCACGCTTGTCCCAACACATGGACTAGGCAGAGAAAACACACTTTCAAAACGGGTTTTAGAAAAGCAAGTATCAAAGCTTAAAGTCTCACTTACCTCGCTAATCACATGTTTTCCAACCTTGCAACGTCTAGAGCACCGACCAAACGACCTTCAATGGCCTCAATCTATACAACATATTGACAACCGATGTCACTTAATGGGTCAAACTGACACTTTCAAAACGGGTTTTAGAAAAGCAAGTATCAAAGCTTAAAGTCTCACTTACCTCGCTAATCACATGTTTTCCAACCTTGCAACGTCTAGAGCACCGACCAAACGACCTTCAATGGCCTCAATCTATACAACATATTGACAACCGATGTCACTTAATGGGTCAAACTGACACTTTCAAAACGGGTTTTAGAAAAGCAAGTATCAAAGCTTAAAGTCTCACTTACCTCGCTAATCACATGTTTTCCAACCTTGCAACGTCTAGAGCACCGACCAAACGACCTTCAATGGCCTCAATCTATACAACATATTGACAACCGATGTCACTTAATGGGTCAAACTGACACTTTCAAAACGGGTTTTAGAAAAGCAAGTATCAAAGCTTAAAGTCTCACTTACCTCGCTAATCACATGTTTTCCAACCTTGCAACGTCTAGAGCACCGACCAAACGACCTTCAATGGCCTCAATCTATACAACATATTGACAACCGATGTCACTTAATGGGTCAAACTGACACTTTCAAAACGGGTTTTAGAAAAGCAAGTATCAAAGCTTAAAGTCTCACTTACCTCGCTAATCACATGTTTTCCAACCTTGCAACGTCTAGAGCACCGACCAAACGGCCTTCAATGGCCTCAATCTATACAACATATTGACAACCGATGTCACTTAATGGGTCAAACTGAATATCCATAGCTTTCAATCTTAGAGCTAAATCTTGATATCTCACTCCTTAAATCACGACTTAAGGAGAAAGATTAATAATATCCCATCTAACTTAATTATTCAATTAAATTAATATAAATTAGGACTCGGATTCCAGTAATAAAAATGACCAGAGTAAAAGTCAAAATCTATCTAAATTCAAAGACAAAGATTTGAAACTGTAGATGTAATATTAATATTAAAGTCTCAATGGATTCCAGGTGCATATTCTGGACGAATTCACATTTGATATAATGTATAACTATTTTATTATAATAAAATAATTTATTTATTATTACTTAATCATTATGCCTCCTAATCATTATCACTTCATGCTTAATAATGAGCCGTCACTTAAATTCCATGACATAGATATATATTTGCTACATAAAAATATGTATTAATAGACGTCTTAATACCTGAATATGAAAGTCACGATAATAGCTTTCTGAGTATTTGTTAGTTTCTCCCTTTTGTTTGCTTGCAGGAGCTTTAGTGCTCCGTTCTCCCCTCCGTAATTCTAGATTCTTTGAGATTTCAAAGAATCTCTTAATTCTCTCCTTCTATATGATGCCCTACGGTATTTATCTCTTTGGGCTTCGGCCCTTTTATTTTTGTTTTCTTTTTGTCCTTTTTTTTTTGGCTAGTGACTTAAACGTACAATATTAAAATGAGTTATTACATTGGAGAAGCAAGAAACAAAGTGTAGTTACTAGATCAAGTGCGGAAGTAGAATATAGAGCTATGGCCCTGGGTGTTTGTGAATTGTTTTGGCTACAAAAGCTACTAGAGGAATTGAGACCCTGGGAAAAAGGAAAATTTTCCTTGTACTGTGACAATAACGCTGTCATCAGTATAGCTCATAATGTAGTCCAGCATGGCCGAACAAAGCATGTGGAAATTGATCAACACTTCATCAAAGAAAAAATAACTGGTGTTCTTGAGTTTGTTTCATGTGCCATCGGAAAAACAATTAGTTGATGTGTTTACCAAGGGCCTCAACAAACGGGCTTTTCATACACTGGTTTGCAAGTTGGGCATGTGCGAAATCTTTGCACCAACTTGAGGGGGAGTGGTGATTGGCTTAATTATTAGGAAAGATTTGATTCTGATTGAGATTTGATTTTTATTTATTTTCCTTCCTAAAATAGTCATAGGACATAGTATATAAATACCTTTGCTTGATGTAAGAAATACACATAAATACAATAAGCCTTTTCTCCTTTTAAAAAATCTACGAAGATTTCATTCTTGAAAATTCAGGAGAAGCTTCTCCATCTATTTGTTGATTGCAGTGTACTGACCTGGACTGGCAGTCATCATGTATATGCAAGTATTCAAACTTCTCTTGATCCTTTTTGGTGGCAAAACTACTCCTGTATCTGGTTTAGATTCTATCATCCTTTCTTGTTTACATTATGTCTTTGGTATCTTTCCCGCTATACTTGTGTGAACCAGACATAACTGGATATGACCTTTAAACGTAGATTTGGACACAAGCTTTCTGCTGTAGGCGGGGACACAATATGCCAGACTTCATTTCTGTTTAACAACATTGGTTGTTATGCGTCTTGAACATCAATAAGGAATCCAAATTTATCATGACCAAGGAGAAAAGTGGCTTTGAACTGATTCAGTGGTTGGTGTACCAGAAGACAATATGATTTGTGTTGAGATCTGAAACAGAATTATGATTAATGGGATTCCAACTTAGTAGACAAATAATCTGAATTCTTTTTGTCAATGAGACCTATTTGTTGTTTTTAGTTGTTCACCGATAGTCTTAGTGGCATGCATGTCCCTTCATATTCTTAGATTTTTATTACGTTATGTGGTTTTGTTCGCCTCAGGTATTGTTTTCCCCGTTGCGATTATTTGGTACTACTTATCCTTTATCTCTCCCATTTTCTTTTATCTTCCTTCTTCCTTCCTTCCTTGCTTTCCTCTTCTTTTTCTTGCCCTTACTGACCCGAGGGTCTATTGGAAACAACCTCTCTACCTGCATTAGGTAGGGGTAAGGTCTGCGTACAGACTACCCTCCCAAGACCCCACCTGTTGGGATCATACTGGGTTTTATGTTGTTGTTGTTGTTGTTGTTGTTGTTGTTGTAATGAGACCTATTTGTGAAACTCATACATGGTCTAATTGCATTTGGAAAGTTGTGTTTTTGTGTTGCTTAGAGTTAAATTTTCTAAATAATGTACTTGTGGAGTAGTGTTGACTGAAACTTTATTGATTAAGTTCTAAGCATTTATCTTTCTCCTATCTTGCCTTTTTTCTTTTTGACAATGTAGGAAATTTCATGCTAGTACCAAGATGTAGTGCAATTTTTTTCGAAAAAGTAATAAGGAGGTACTACAAAATTACAGAAGGGCATCATCAGTTGCATAGTTACATCATTTCCCCATGTATTCCGAGGAATCAAAAAGATAATCCAAATACTCTATGGAACTATTCTGACTCCAAAAGTATAAATTTTGTAACCATCTGTTTTTAACAGAAGAGATATGATGTTTGCTTCCTTCAAAGCATCTTTTATTCCTTTCCAATCAAAGAGTCCACATGATGCACGTGCGATCTATACTAGATCTGACCATGATGCAAGATCTAGAAGGCCAAGAATCCAAGAAATTCAAGAAGTCCAAGAATCCATCCAAAATTAGGATTTCTTTCCTTGAAGATTAGGATTTCTTATTTCTTGTTTCCTAGTAATTTAATTCTTATTTTAGTAGGATTATATTTGTAGTTTTAGTCAAACTCGGATTGTTAGTTGGTATCTAATCCTTACTAGAATTTTCTTTTCTATTTTAGTTAGGATTTTTTCTCACCCTTATTCTTATTCTAGTTTAATTAGGATTAGTTTTCCTTAACCTCATCAATTTTACTCATTGTAATGCCTATTTAAAGGGCTCAATATGCTGAAAATAATGATGGGTGATTAGTTTTTCTAAGTTCTTGCTTCAAAAACGTGATTTAATTTTTATTTCAAAGACGTGATTGAGCATCTAAATCTGGGTTACCAAAAAGTAAACCAAACCCTGACTGTTACGAGAACATCATCGGATTTCAAAGTAGCACGATCCAATTCAAAATTTTCACCCAATTGAGCAATATTATTACTTTAATTTTATTTATCTTTATCTTTTAGTTAGGAATTGGTTTAAATGGAGCGGCATAATTAGTGAGAATTCGTATAGCCGACTCCTACTTGCTTGGAATTAAAGTATAGTAGTATTTTTTTTTAGTTAGAAGTAGAATATAGATACGTCATCTTTAGTTTGGAATGAGGTTTTGTTCGTTAGTTACAGATTAAGCTTTACCTAATCTTATTTTCTTGGTTAGAGCTAATACTTTTACTCCCTCTGTTTCAATTTAGATGATGTACTTTGACTTGGCACAAAGTTGAAGAAAAAAAGAAGACTTTTGAAACATATGGTGCTAAAAGCTTAAGGGCAAAAGTTTAGTGGGGCCATAGTATTTGTGTGAATAAAAGTTTCTCATTAAGTAAAGTGAGTAGAATGAAAAGTTTAAAGTTAAATTGTTTCTAAATATAGAAATGTGTCATTCTTTTTGGAACAAACTAATAAGGAAAGCGTGTCATCTAAATTGAAACGGAGGGAGTAATAGTTTTAGGAGTTATGGGACTATCATATACTTTGTTTCGAAGACTTGATGAGTAATACCAAATGAACAATCTCTCTCTCTCTCAAAATCCGTCTCTTATTCTTCCCTCATCTCTCTCCTACTTCTCTCTATTCTTTCTCCCTTTCTCCTTTTTTTCGCTTTTTTGCTACGTCAAGTTTAGCATAGAGAAGTAATTTCCAGGTGTTATAATGTTGGAGTAAGATTCAGTTCACTGTAATCATTTATGTTAAAGGAGAATGGAAATTGATCAGCTTCCTTCTATTTGAGGTGACTGGAAAATTGTTGTGCTTTCACCTGATAATTTCGATTTTCTGTCTTCCATCAGAACATTGTTGATTCTATCTGTCTAAAATATACCAATTTCCTCTATCCTTTTTCCCTGTGATCCTTAGCTCTTCTGAAATGTTTCATTTTTCATATGCAGGGGATGGATAAAGTACTCATTGCCGGCGCTGTTAGTTGTGCTTGCAGTTATCATGCTCTGGCATAGGAATGCCGGAAAAGGGAGGCCATTAGAACCACTAAAAATCATAGCTCCTCCTCCAAAAAATGCTGTTGAGCAGCTTTTGTTATTGCAAGAAGCTATTAGTCAACTTGAGGCATTAATCCAAAGTGGCAACATTGTTCTACTGAAAGTACGAGCTCTCATTTTTGCTGCCCTTCCTCAGGTATTATCATATATTCCTCGTGTTGAACTGCTTTAAAACCAATCCAATATTTGGGTTTTGATGTCATATCTTAATTCTTAGCATAATTGAAAGTTATGGGAGGGGGTTACTCTTTTATAGTTTGAGATTTAATGCATACATGAAAGCGAGTGTGAAAACCTAGCAATAGTTGGGACTTTACAGAGTTGGCAAACAACTTGTTTTTTTGCCATTGATAATGTTGAAGAGTTAATATATGTCAGTACTATAGTTTCATGGTTTGAGATATTTAATGCATACATGGAAGTGATGGAAAACCTAGCAATAGCTGGACTTGAAGAAGCTCTAGAAATTGGATACTGCGCAGGTTTTTCTGTGATAATCAAAATGAAGGTCTAAACAACTTGAAGGTTCTTTTTCCCTTAGTTACACAAGCTTAGAGTGAAGAAGTTATCTAGATACAAATTCTCTCTAAACTGAAATAATTACACTCAGCATTTTTGGAATATATAAAGATCATTGTTAAGTCTACAATTATCGCAAAGTATTTATTCTTGGTGATATGAATTTTATTTTCATCATGTTTAGGCAACCGACAGGACAGCTCTTCTACTGGTGATCATGGCCTTGGCTTTTGCTTTTGTGCCACTAAAACATTTGATTCTTTTTGCTTTCTTGGAGTCTTTCACAACGAACATGCCTCTCAGAAAAATTAGCAGTGAAAGAGATCTCCGACGGATTAGAGAGTGGTGGATCAGGATACCAGCAGCCCCTGTGCAGCTTATGAAACCTGATGACAAGAAGACAAGATGAGTAAAATGATTCATCACAATTATCTTTATAAACAAATATACTATAATTTCAAAAACCATGAACGCTAGGAGTTTTCGATTGATGGCATACAGTTTTAGCATAATTTCTATTTTAGTCCTTGTGTTATTTAGCTAAGCACATTGGACGTTCAATTGAAACAAAATGTGTTTTCTTTAAAAAATTACCCCCTTTATACCAAAATTGCCCATATTTTACTTTCTTTCCCAGCTTGGCCCACTTTGTAAATAACTTTTTTTATAATTCTTTAGCCCAACATTAATGTCATGCCCCGACCTAGGGAAGTGGGATCGGGCTCAACCGACATATCCTGTCAAGCAACCCTACTTGGTGCCTACTATCTAACTTTGCCTATGAATGATTCAAGAATAAATAACAAGAGATAGTTAATCGAGAGGGTAAAAATGTACAACACCGAGTTTCACTAATTAGGAAATTTTGTTGTTAGATGGCAAAATAATACAAGTCCATCGTTCATAAGCGAAGCAACGGACAAGAACAATATTTATAGCTTTCCCCTATTCAAAACATGACTCACAGTATGTTTATGGAGCCTCTAAATAGACATGAGAAAAGAAAGGCTCTGGTTATACCTCAAAATAATGTACAAGGAGACAATACAACATACAGGTCCCGATATAGAGTAGGGCTCACCAATGTTTGTTGAAGAGTTAAGCTCCTACTGAGAGTCCGTGCCTCCTGTTGAGGTACCACTTGTATCCATTAAAGATGCAACGTCCTCGGCAAAAGGGATGTTAGTACATATGGAATAGTACTAGTATGTAAAGCTAAGTTACCCTTACATGGAATGAAATGCCAACATAAGCAGAGAGATACATGGAAGTAATAAGAAAAGTCAACAGTATTTAAAATGCCAAGTTAAAAACATGATAAGGAGGTGTAATATAAGTAAAAACTTCAAATGAGCATTAGCGTTTGGGTTGGGAGATCATTAGTTACCGACATAATAATATAATATATAACCACCATGTGCGTAGCATGGCGTCCAATCTCGGCCTGATCGGCTAAGCAGTCTCACCATAATGCTGTGTGGATCGACGTGTCTATGCTAGCAATAAAATACATTATCCCAATATTGGGGCATAATCTCATAATGGTGCGAAATAGACTTGTCCCAATCGACTCCTACACCGTTACATGTAGTTTTTGGGTATATGCCTTTCAACCTACACCTTCTCGGTTATATAACAATACTCCCAAAAATATTTCATATAAAGCCTCTCATGAAAACCTTTTCTTTGTCCCTTGGAATATACATTACATCATCATTCTCATTTTGGCAAATCACCACATTTTATTTTCATGCTTTCACTTCCTTTACTTGCCATGAGTCATCATAAAACATTAAAGGTATTTAAAACATTGGAGAATTATAAGTGCAAATACATGAGTTAAAACACTTGAAATGTTTCCAAAAGGAGACTAGCAATTTCAATTGAAACATGAAATGAATTCATAGATATTCGATAAATCAATCACATTTGAAATATTCTTCAAAGGAGAGCTTAAGGATGGTAATTGAAACAAGACTTGAATACATAGGCATTTGATAAATCGTTCATTTGAAGCAATTTAACACAGTGGGAATAGGAACTTGAACAACCATACTTGGAGATCATGGAATCCGGTTCTGCAGAGGGAGTTTAGTGAGCCTACCTTAATCAAGCCTTTCCTTAGGGTTCCTACGACGCTCCACTACTCTTAGAAACTTCAATCTACATTAACATAGTTCAGTTGAACCATTATTAGTAAGATATCCTCATATTTAGGTCTTTTAGTTTTTTTTATCAAGCACTTGGTGTGCATAGCATTAACGACCTCTAGTAATAGCGTTTCTTCATTCCTTACACCCCTTTCCATAACTACATTTATTCCATAACCATCCACGCAGGGGCGGAGGCACGTTGAGCCAAGCGGTGTCATCCGACACCGCTTGGCCAGAAAGTTTTATTTATTAATATATATGTAAATAATCTGCAAAAGGAAATATAGTCTAAATATAATAAATGACACAACTTGATGTTAACAACTACGTTGGCCCGTTGGTGAAGTAATCCAGTTTCTGCTTGTGGTCAGGTGTTTGACTCCCCACGGTGAAAACAGCTTTATTCTTAATTTTTTTTAGTATTCTTCTGGAAATTTATTGAAAGAAGCAGCATCCTATGGATTCGAATGGATAATGAGCTATTGAGTAAATTTTTGCTGCCTTATATAGTTTTTTTTGGGTAATATTTGTACTGAGTCTATTATGAGTACATTTTATAAAAATAAAAGTTCGTGGGGGAGAACTATACTACTATATTTGAATTGTGTTTTTCTAAAGTGTAATTTCATTAAAGTAATCTCTTCGTTTGTACGTCTCTCTAAATTTCGACACCGCTTACAAAAAATTCTGCGTACGCCCCTTCATCCACGGGTAGTAGGTGAACCCCAAATAATACATGCATAGTCACCCACTATTCTCAACCAACACTTCCATCACACACCCGCCTTTCCCTATTCTTCACAAAATTCCAATTTTAAAATTGAGCTTATAGATTCCAATCACCATCCTATAAGCTCCAATACTTAAATCTTACCTAGGAATTCATTATTAAACATTGCATGTAAGTTAGGGATGGAGTTTTACCTTGTTAGCAGAAGACTTAGTGCGTTCCATTCCTTGAATTCCCCAGGATTGGCAAGAAATTGAAGAGTAGCAAGTTTGGAGCTTCTTCCTCTCTCTCTAAATTGCTCCCCTCTTTTCAAAATAATTTGATTTCCTCTCTAAAATAACCCCTTAGGCCTTTTTATTAAAATGGAGTTGGGTTCGAAAATTCAAAAAATAACCCTTCGTGCCGATCTGCGATCACAGAATATACCGCAAAAAGTCTACGCGGTCCGTAAAATAAACCACAAAATATCCTCCAAATTTGAGTTGGATCTGGACAGGTCTGCAATTCGCATAATTGTTCTGCGGTCCGCACACTGGACCGCAAAATCTCATTAAAAAAATTCTCCTACCGATTCTACGACAAATATGCGGTCCGCATAACCCACCGCGAAATAACCCTCAGAATCTAGTTGCTCCTGCCTCCATCGGCAAAGATTCTGCGGTTAGCGGAACCGATTTGTGGTCCGCATAACTAACCCCAAAAACGCCCTTTCCTGCCAATTCTTCTACCCCCTTCACAATGCATTGCACCGTTCACAAATCTGTACCGCGACGAGCTTCTACAACCTTCTGAACATAATAGTTTGACTTTGGCACTATTAAGACTTTCAATCCTTGACAAACTTTACGGGCCTTACAATTAAAGAGTGTCTCATGAATGGAAGTGTCACCGAATGAGACCAAAATATGGGCGATACCCAAGAACGAGCTCTCCATCCCTTAAAGTTGGTTTATCTTTCACATTTTCTTCGTTCTCATTGAAATAATTTTGAGCTGATGAGACTGCACTGTCTGGTTGAAGTAGTATATTCAGTTCTTGAATGAACCAATTAGGTGAAAAGTTTTATATAGTCCAAATTGCAGAGATCACCATATCCTAGACTATGGAAGAAGAAATCCAAATCAAGATAAAGTTTCTTGCTTTCATTCATGATTTACCTTGTTCGGTAATTTTATACCATATTTGGTTTCTGTATGTGGTGGTAAAGTCGATATTCTCTTTATTGTGTTTTACTGAAACATGTATAGAAGTTCTGTTATATCTTGCGTTTTCGCACGTTAAAAGTTTTGTCTTCTGTTAATCGACATAGACTCAGGGATGAGATTATCTTGAGGTTAACATATTTATGCTATTTATAACAAGCGATAAATAAGTGTCATGAAGGATAAAGAGTACACGAATTAAAGAAAACGAGTTTCGTTGAAAGTGGCCAATTTGGGATAAAATACGGGTCGAGCAATAATACCCGATAATTATGAGCTAGTACCATGCAAAGTACCATATGAACACGATAGTATGATGTATAAAGTATATTAAAAATAAGTAGAATTTTAAGTAATTTGAGATAATTCTTAATTATACGGGTAATTGGTTAATTACCAGGTAATTGGACATTACCTAGTTAATTAGTGAATTATGAGATAAGCCTAACCCCCCTCCCCCCCCAAAGAAATGTAACGTGGCAGCATTAACTAGCCTAGAAAATGACTCTTTAATCTTCTTGAATAGGTGGCTATCTAGGATTTATTTGGAATTAATAAGTAAAGACTTATGATAAGTCTTATCTCATTTTTCATTTGGACAAAAGAAGAAAAGAGCATTCATAATCCAAGTAAGAATCATATATATCTTTTTCCTAGTTCCAAATGCTTCAAAGAGCAGAAGCTCAGTTCGTTCAAATTGCTTCAAAGAACAAAAGCTTAGTTCGTTCAAATTGCTTCAAGAACAGAAGCTAATTCAATCCGGTTCTTGCGATTCTAAATTCAATCCAACGTGCAACAACACAATTCCAATGAGAATTTGTTAGAATTGTAGCAACGTAAAATTTTGCGGTTCTAAAGGAGTACGTGCAATCTTCTCCAAGAGTATTATACGTAGTTTTCCCTACTCCAGGTATGTTAAGGCTATCCCCTATTTCTTTTTGGCATGATCCAAGTTATACAGAAGAAACGAGCAAATACACAATTTTCATAAACGACTCTATTCATAGAAATACTTGGGGTCTCTGTGTTCTTGATTCCCCATGTGGCATATTATTATATCTTCTGTTCATGGGTCTCAGAATAATACGCAGTTGAAAAAGTTTGTCCGAAAGGAATATTGAGATTATTACATATTTTTCATGCATTTCATTCATTTATACATGTGCA